TAGCGCAGGATGTACCAGTGCATAGACACTTGTATCATTTTATACACATCTTGTAAATATGATGCCTAAGCTTCTTCTTCTTCTTCTATCTTATCTCCACTAAATCACACTAAGGTATCAAGCCTGTAAAGCTTGAGACCTTTGATGGTGTCTGCCGGGGAAGAGTAGAGCTCATCAATGGATGATGCCTAATACCATTATAGAATTGAGGGGGAAACAGTTGAACACTCGCTGTGGATTCAGAGGATGTACCTATCCATGTAACTTCTTGAAGCATCTTTTATAACATGGGGAGAGAGCTAACACTTGAACAAGCGGTTATACTAAGCTGGAAATCTTTCGGGAATTTTTCGGGAGAATCTCTGAAAAAGATCAAGATGTTGAGGCATCTTCAAATAATAGATTGTTTAAAAATGTATATATGAGAGATTTATTTATAAATAAATAACTGTAAAATCAATAGGATGCGTGTAAATAAAGTTGATAGATTTTTGATAAATCAAAGGTAGTGTGTCGATTGGTTAAAAGATTTCTGTGAATTTGTAAGCATCCTGTCTATTTGTTTTAAAGATTTCTGTGATTATTTTAACTCTTATATTCTTCTGGCCATTTATTGTATCGTTGTTTTTCTCCTGAAGAAAGACTTTCGTACCCGAAAGCTAGAGATATTTGTGAATATATATATTTTTAAAGAAACTTATCCTTGAAGTTTATATAAAAAGGCGTACCTGGATCTGTAAAGAAAAAAAAAACATTTTTTCTCAAAATATTTCGAAAGATTGCTCCTTCTTTATCAATTTATTGTACTGTAAAGAGGGAGAAATCTCTCAAAATATTTCGAGAAGATTGCTCCTTCTTTATCAATTTATTGTACTGTAAAGAGGGAGAAATCTCTCGAAATATTTTGAGAAAAAAAATGTTTTTTTTCTTCACAGATCCAGGTACGCCTTTTTATATAAACTTAATTGATGGATCGTCTTTTGGCTCAAATTATCCTTAGAGGTTTGGTAGTTTTACCTTAATATTGAAACATATGATTAATTTATCGAACTTTCTATTGTGTCATTAGAATGTATTTAGGTTTTTAAACTGACTGTGCTGGGGCAGGGTTTGTGTTCGGCGGGGAGGTGCTGCGGTTCTACCACGGCGGTGACGAGTGTCTCACCATCCCGGCCAACTGGACTGATGCCCAGGGCAGCAAGTGAGTGGAATTCCATCCATGTTGGAGCAATGGTGATACTATGAGGTTTTGTACAGCATGGTGATCTACGAGGGTGGCGCCGTGCTCAGCCAGGCTAGGTCTCTGTGGCGCCTGGAGCTGGTGCGCACCAAGTGGGCCGGAGGTTTCATCAACTGGGGATACCCGCTGAGAGTCCGTCACATCACTACGGGCCGCTACATGGCCTTCAACGAAAACCGCGAGGTGATCCTGGTGACACGGGAAGAGGCTTCGGTCAACTCTACCGCCTTCTGTCTCCGTCATACCAAGGTAGGTACAGTTTATCTATGTAGTCACATCAAGGGGTAGGTATAGATTAGCTTTATAGTCACCCCAAGGTAGGTATTTTCAGGGTATCTTTGTAGTCACACCAAGGTATGTCTCGAATATTTTTAGTCAAATAAGAATTCGTAGGCAAACCAATGTATTTTTGAAGATAATCACTGTAATCAGAGACCAATGTAAGCCTCGAATATTCAAAGTAAGATCAATACATGTTCAGGATCTTTGAAATCAGACCAAAGTACATCTCAAATCTTCGTAGTTATGTAGGTTTCCTATATATCCTCTGTTAGACAACAGAGATATGAGTAAAAACTTATAGAATGAAATAAGATTCACGGTAATGAGAACATTCTATATGCAATCTAAAAACCACCTTGAGCAATATTGAGAAAGACAGCAACTTCCATAATCAACTTTAGGCTATTTCAAATGTAAGATTAACAAGATGAATCGTCACATCTTCTTAATTCCTTTTACAAAATTTTACTGTGGACGCCAAGTCATTAACAGATAGACGACTTCATCACGTCTTGTTCTCTCTTCTTGTCAGCAGGTAGATGTATTGATATAGTATTGACCTGTCTCCTCTTCTGTTGACAATCCCCGAGTCTGTATTTACACCCCCAGTGGCTGTAACAGGATGACAAGAAGATCGTCCTGGATGAGAAAGAAGAAGAAGTCATCGGGTCTCCTCTCATCAAGTACGGAGACACCACGGTGTTTCTTCAGCATCTGGAGACCGGACTATGGATATCCTACAAGGTCAGTATCAAGGGGACTACAACCTAGTTCCCTGAAGTCTTTTACGGACGGGATAACAGCTTCAGAAGCATCTGGAAGGAAGAGGGATTGCCAGGCGGTCTAGAGGGGTCGTCTTCACAAACTCTATTTGGGAACAAAAGAGTTATCTTCTTCTTTCTTATCTCCACTCAATTATATTAGGGTGTCAAGTTGTGACCCTTGATGGTGTCTGTTTGACAACCATCATGACTGGGTGAAGTAGAATGCGTCTGCCTTTGTCATTAAGACTGGGTGCACTACACAGTGGCAGGTCGACTTAGCTCCAAAAGAAATGGCCGCCTCTGATATGAGGAACAGACGCCATGTGCAGCTGCTCCTAACATGGAGTACAAACGCTGTTCATCCTGTATCCCTGGTTATAAAATTGTGTATTGATATAAACGTTCATCCTCTGACTTATTATTTAGTAATATCCAAAAATATATACTTCAGGGCTAAGTTTCTTACACAATTGTATTTCTCTAAATTTTGGGTTAACATGCCCCCTTTCAACAGGAACAACTAAGAGTATAACTTCTTGTTTCTAGAAGTCAAACTACTAATTTCTCTTGTTAAATTCCATGTTAAACCTAGAGAAATAAAATTGTGCAAGAAACTTAGTATGATGCACTAGCGCGCCATCTGTTTTCAAAATTCGAAACTATTTTAAAGGCGTAAGATTCTTTTTGAAATTAGACAATTTCTACTGCCCTTATTTCCATTGCGTGTAAGGGCAGTAGAAATTGTTTAATTTCAAAAAGAATCTTACGCCTTTAAAAAAGAAACTTAGCCCTGGATACTTTTTGATATTGTTGAATAAAATTGGGTGTTGAAACAGGGTGAACAGTGGCCTGAAAATATTTAGGAACCTAAGTGCAATAGATTCCTTTTTTGGTGTGACGGTTCTAGTGGACAAAATGTAAGCTCTTTACTGAAAATATGTAAATATACACTTTACGTTAAATATTTGAACCTGTTTTCACGATATTTTTCTATTAAAATAATTTTCTACCATCATTGATGAAGAATCAGCTTCTTTTAGAAATGTTTTCTATTGCAGTGAGGGACACAACAGGAAAATAATTGTCCCCCTAATTGTAACAAATAGCAAGGGTTCAATTCTTATTGAAAATGACGATCTAAATCTTTGCTACTTTTAAATATTCGATGGTCTTTAAGTGGAGGCTTTTCAGTTTGCCAAAGCAGATGTTGTGGCTTTGTCACTGACCCGAGGCTGCTAATTTGCGGTTAATAGATGGCGTCTAGCCTTGACATCTATTTTGACGGGAGAGGCGACTTTAGTCTTTTTAGATACACTGATATGTCAATCTATTGATTATCGATCTTTATTGATGACTGCTGTGTGTTGTGACAGACTTATGAAACTAAGAAAAAAGGAGTTGGAAAGGTTGAAGAAAAACAGGTAAGTGTGTTCCATGTAGGATCAACTTAGAGTACGACACTATTACATACTTACGGTATATTTACATATCTCTATCTCAAAACTCATCAGTAAAGTTGCATAATGCTTGAAATGTCGAAATTGATAAACAATACTAAAATAGGTTGATTTGTTTTTTAAATTTTATTAGAATATATTTATTCGAATATTTATATTAGAATTTTTTTTTTCTATTATTTTTTTCATATATAATTATTTAATTAAAAAGGCATATATTGTATCAAAATAATAATATAAATATATATATATAAAATTTTCTCCCCATTGAATATAACAAAATAATTTTAAAAACTTAATTCTGTTGACGTTATGTGGCGCTGAGTTTGTTGTTGACACACTTTAAAATGTTATAACATCTTGATAATGGTTGGCGTTCAGTCAACTGAAATATTGGTAAAATAAATGATATTTTGATCCAATATATGCTTTTTTAATTAAAGATTTATTTATGGATTGCTCTATTTTCAAAAATATATATTTATATACACTTGTATAATAAAGTTATATATGGAATAATAAATAATGGAATATAAGTTTTTACAAATATATTTCTATTAGATAATAAAATGGCATATATTTTGGATTGAATAAATGATTTGCCAATATTTCGGTTGGCTGAACGCCAATCTTTGTCGAGGCCAACTAAAATATTGTCAAATTTATTGTTTATTCAATTCAATATATATACCTTTTTATTATCTAAATATTTGAATATGGATTGCTCTATTTCCATAACAATAGCTTTCTATATATAATATTTAAATTATTACATATATATGCACTCATGGGCAAAACTTAAGGAATTTGTACCTTTTAGCATGTATATTGGGATTCAGACAATAACTCTGGAAGATTATTGATACACAGTAACTTTTATTGAAGACATAAGAGATAACCAATAGTGAACAAAATTGTCTCTGTCTCCTTCAAAGAAACAATATATAGATGACTAGCGACAATCAAAGACTTCCACTTTCTTAAGTTTTGTCCATGGGTGTAAATCTTGATATTGACAGAATTTTGAGCCATATATATAGTGCCAGTGAGATCAACAAGAAAGCTTGTACTGCTCGACAATGGTACCAGGAGGTTGTGCTATGTGTGCCAGGCCATCATGTCTGAGGAAGGCAAGATGGACGACGGACTTGAGTTCAGTAGGTCTCAAGAGGAAGAGTCCAAGACAGCCAGAGTTATCAGGAAATGTGGAGCTCTCTTCACCAAATTCAATACGTGAGTATCGACCCAGTGAAAAGAAGGCCCAGCAAGGGATCAAACCCTGGATCTTCGGTTTTAAAAAACCGACATCTTACCACTTGTCCATTGAGTCACATACGTATAGGTCAGACTTTTATGTAAAAAAGGTAAATAAATGTATGAAAGAAATCATTTTTAGATATGAAAAAAATAATAGAAAATATAAGTGGGTCAGGTGTTGATATTAAAAAATAAAGAAAGCATATCCTGACCAGGAGCATATGTGCTTTATAGAAGGCAGAACGCCATCTGGTGGAACAGAAATCAATTTGAAATGATTTAGCCTGTTCCCTGATATTTGGCCAACCCAATTTCTTGATAAATCAAGAAAAGCCATCCACAAACGCGTTTCGCGCTCGTCCTATGTAAAAAAAAAAATATATATATATATATCCGTGTCTCCGCATGATAAAACCACGATCACTATTGTGTAACTCCTGACAATACAATGCGAAGGTTGTTCCTACAGATATCCTAACATACAAATATCTGACAATATTTCTGTTCTATTCGGCTATTGGTCAGTTGTTTGATTTGGCAACTAGATAAATGACACGGGTTATTAACACAAAGAAATAACGCGTCATCTATACATATAAAATGAAAGGATTTAAAAGCACGAATGTTTCTTTTATACATAATACAAACTTCTACTGTCCTTACTGCGATGAAAAATCACCACTGATACGGGTTATCTTTGAGTAGGTTTTTACCGGAGTCCATATGTCTAACGGACCATGTGCAGCGGTCTGGACAACCTTCATTCCTGTCCGGACATGTTTCCAGCATCCGACCTAGATGAGATGGTGACATGTCTGGAGGATTTAATCCAGTACTTTGCTCAGCCTGAAGACGACATCGGTAAGTTGGACACATGCCTGATGACATTGATGATAACTTACGGATGTTCTCAGAACACGAAGAGAAACAAACCAAACTCAAAGCTTTAAGAAACAGACAGGATCTTTGTCAAGAAGAGGTGAGATTTATTTATTTAAAATTGATTATTTTCTTAGATCATCTGTATTTATACTATCTGCAACATCAGGCAAAGTCAGACTTTCACCAAAGTGTGCCTGGATCATGGTGCCATGATCAACGAAAGCTGCACACCTACACTCCATTCCATGATATTGTAGCATGGGCCGACTTCATGGAACAGGAAGCTCATGCCAACGCCGGGTTGTTCCACGCGAACCCTCGCGGGAACGCACGCCCTAGTGCTTCTTTTCCGCGCTCGCGCTAGTGCTTCTTTTCTTTGCCCTCATATAAACAACCTGTATAAACTTCATATAAATTTCTCTCGCTTATTAAATTGTTCTTAATTGCCATACGACTTGCTAATTATTTCATCACTATCAAGCTCAAGAAGCATTAACTCATGGAATTGGTGTAATCTCCGCACATGGGGATAAGAAACAACACTTCTGAAACATGAGATTAACTGGATAATGGCATTAAAAGTCTTAATGGTTTGTTCAAAAGTAATCTCCGCACAAGGGAATAAGAAACAACACTTCTGAAACATGATCTTAACCGGATAATGGCTTGTTCAAAAGACTTAAAATCCTCAGGATATAACAAATCACCAATAAAATCCCTGAGCAATAATGTTTATTATTTATAGCTTTCGTAATTTTATTGTTCTTCTACAGGAGTATTTTAAAACATAACACCGCCCGAAAGCTATACATAATAAAGTTAGTTTAAAGGAATCTAATACTGAGCGACTTTTCTGCCAATTAAATGACATGTTCGTATAACACTGAACCTTGTTGCTGTGTCCAAAGAGAAAAATAAACTCGATCCTGGAGACGATGTCTACCCTATGAACTCTTGTTGCTGTGTCCAGGGTATTTTGAACTTGATCCTGGAGACCATCGACAAGATTAACGTCATCAGCAGCCAGGGTTATCTGTCTGTGGGAGAAGACACGGCGCAGAGGTGGGAGACCATCTCAGGATACCTCTACCAGCTGTTGGGTGAGTGATTTAGATTGCTGCTCAGTCGTACCATTCTATCTCTCTATTGGTGATGGATGGATATTCAAACTTGTGGCGGAAATCGCTGGTCTACAGCACTACTAGTTGTTGTTGTTGTCGTGTCCAATGAAGAGCCTCAGATGTCTCCATACATCTCCATCACAGCAGTAGCAATATCCACTATCTTGGGTGTGTAAAGCTGCTGCTCTGGGTCTATGTCAATTTTCTGCAAGGCTGCGGCCATTGCTGGGCATGAGAATATGTGAGTAGGTGTTAGTGTTTTTGTCTTTATCCCTAGTACACGTGGTACAGGCCATGATAATCATGTTGGGTAGAAGAAGGCGACTGATTTTACTGTAAGTGCACCACATGTCTACACATGTGAAAATCAGTTCGACTTTTCACTTAAAAATATGCCAGAGCCCCGTTTGGTTACTTGCATTCGCTAGTGGAGTTAAACTTTTGCAAGAATCGGAGGCCATTGGAGCATTTTTTTTAACAGAAAAAAAGTGCCCAATGAAGGAATCGAACCCGGGTCGTAGCGGTTGAAAACCAACGGTTTAGACCATCCTTCCACCGACCATCGTCTCGCACTATTAGTGATTGTGGAGAATGGTCACAATATCAGTGTGATGTGTTGTTCCCAGCCGCCATCATCAAGGGCAACCACACCAACTGCGCCCAATTTGCACAAGCCCACCGTCTGGATTGGCTCTTCAGTCGTCTGGGAAGTCAACAAGCAGCTGAAGGAACGGGTAAGTCTCTTGTAGCTCTATTTTTATTGGTTATTGCAGATAGCATCTAACTCTGTGGATTACTTTTTAATTTTAATAGAAAGTTTGAAGACTACAGAGAGCTCTCGCTGAATATAACTCCCATATATTTAGTAAGACTCACATGTATGTTACCTACACTCATGGACAAAACTTAAGGAAGTTGTAACTTTAGCATGTATATCGGGATTCAGACAATACACTCATGGACAAAACTTAAGGAAGTTGTACCTTTTAGCATGTATATCGGAATTCAGACAATACACTCATGGACAAAACTTAAGGAAGTTGTAACTTTAGCATGTATATCAGAATTCAGACAATACAGTCATGGACAAAACTTAAGGAAGTTGTACCTTTTAGCATGTATATCGGGATTCAAACAATACAGTCATGGACAAAACTTAAGGAAGTTGTACCTTTTAGCATGTATATCGGGATTCAAACAATACAGTCATGGACAAAACTTAAGGAAGTTGTACCTTTTAGCATGTATATCGGGATTCAGACAATACACTCATGGACAAAACTTAAGGAAGTTGTACCTTTTAGCATGTATATCGGGATTCAGACAATACACTCATGGACAAAACTTAAGGAAGTTGTACCTTTTAGCATGTATATCGGGATTCAGACAATACACTCATGGACAAAACTTAAGGAAGTTGTACCTTTTAGCATGTATATCGGGATTCAGACAATACACTCATGGACAAAAATTAAGGAAGTTGTACCTTTAGCATGTATATCGGGATTCAGACAATACACTCATGGACAAAACTTAAGGAAGTTGTACCTTTAGCATGTATATCGGGATTCAGACAATACACTCATGGACAAAACTTAAGGAAGTTGTACCTTTTAGCATGTATATCGGAATTCAGACAATACACTCATGGACAAAACTTAAGGAAGTTGTAACTTTAGCATGTATATCAGAATTCAGACAATACAGTCATGGACAAAACTTAAGGAAGTTGTACCTTTTAGCATGTATATCGGGATTCAAACAATACAGTCATGGACAAAACTTAAGGAAGTTGTACCTTTTAGCATGTATATCGGGATTCAAACAATACAGTCATGGACAAAACTTAAGGAAGTTGTACCTTTTAGCATGTATATCGGGATTCAGACAATACACTCATGGACAAAACTTAAGGAAGTTGTACCTTTTAGCATGTATATCGGGATTCAGACAATACACTCATGGACAAAACTTAAGGAAGTTGTACCTTTTAGCATGTATATCGGGATTCAGACAATACACTCATGGACAAAACTTAAGGAAGTTGTACCTTTTAGCATGTATATCGGGATTCAGACAATACACTCATGGACAAAAATTAAGGAAGTTGTACCTTTAGCATGTATATCGGGATTCAGACAATACACTCATGGACAAAACTTAAGGAAGTTGTACCTTTAGCATGTATATCGGGATTCAGACAATACACTCATGGACAAAACTTAAGGAAGTTGTACCTTTAGCATGTATATCGGGATTCAGACAATACACTCATGGACAAAACTTAAGGAAGTTGTACCTTTAGCATGTATATCGGGATTCAGACAATACACTCATGGACAAAACTTAAGGAAGTTGTACCTTTTAGCATGTATATCGGGATTCAGACAATACACTCATGGACAAAAATTAAGGAAGTTGTACCTTTAGCATGTATATCGGGATTCAGACAATACACTCATGGACAAAACTTAAGGAAGTTGTACCTTTAGCATGTATATCGGGATTCAGACAATACACTCATGGACAAAACTTAAGGAAGTTGTACCTTTTAGCATGTATTTCGGGATTCAGACAATACACTCATGGACAAAACTTAAGGGAGTTGTGCCTTTTACCATGTATATCGGGATTCAGACTGTAACTCTGAAAGGTGTTTGATAAACAGTGACCTTTATTGAAGACACACGAAATAACCAAGAGTGAACAAAATTGTCTTTGTCTGCTGCATCAAAGACTTTCCTAAGTTTGGTCCATGAGTGTAAATGCGCGCTCTCAGAACGATGGGCATCTTAGTTTCTCTGTGGCACACTGTTTATTTGACTTTAAAGACTTTGATTCATTTCAATAAACTAAGGTAAAGAACTATTCCGAGAAGTTTCCTTATACTTAATAAGGAGAAATGTGTTTAATTCATTAATATTTCTGCTGTATTTCTTGAAAATAAAGATACTTCGGCCAGTAAATCTTTTTATTACTTCGACGTTTCGACAAAAATCTTTTGTCCTCATCAGGAGCAAACAAAAATTAAACATTTAGCAAGGCGTTAAAATTTTTTCTTTACACCTTG